TGGAAGCTCACTGAGCCTCGTGCTGAACTCTATTTTGCAGCAGACAACGTATTGTACCGCATCGTTCAAGCCGCATGTTTCGCTGAGGATCTTGAGCTGATCAAGCAAGGTCAACCAGTGAAGCCCGGGTCGAAGGTGTATCAGCTTGCACCGTTTCTGGATGAGCATGGAGTGCTCAGAGCCGGGGGACGACTTCAGCACAGCGAGTTGGCGTATGGAGCCAAGCACCCAGTCCTGTTAGGCAAACATCATCTGACCGAGTTGCTGTTGGAGAAAAAGCATGTTGAAAGGATGCACCAAGGTGTAGAAGGAGTCTTGTCAATCATCCGTCAGAAATTCTGGATTATCGGTGGTCGACGAGCGCTACGCAACATTACTCAGCGATGTGTTACATGCCGCCGCTACAAGGCTAAGGCTGCCTCAGAAGTCTGCCCGCCGCTGCCAGAAGACCGAGTTGTTCACGAGAGGCCGTTCGCAACTACCGGCATCGACTATGCTGGTCCGTTGTACGTGCGCCGTGGTGAGTCATCTCCGAAGGTATGGATAGCATTGTTTGTGTGTGCCACCACCAGAGCAGTTCACTTGGAGGTGGTCGATAGTTTAAGTACCGAGTCATTCTTGATGGCATTTCGGAAGTTTGTCGCGAGACGTAGTTTGCCGTCTCGGATCAGGTCTGACAACTCTACAACGTTCAAGGCGGCATCTGACAAACTGAGTGTGCCATGGATGTTCAATCCTCCAGCTGCACCATGGCATGGAGGCTTCTATGAGCGAATGGTTGGTACAGTGAAGAGTGCCTTGAAAAAGGTAATGGGAACAGCGTTTCTGAAGGTCCAGGAGCTTGAGACCCTCTTGTATGAGGTTGAAGCAGTGGTGAATAGTCGTCCACTAACTTATGTGTCTGATAGCCTGGATGAGCCACCCGTAATCCCTGCAATGATGATGGGTAACATCTGGATGTCGTCAGAGAAGCCAGCAGGTACCCTGGACGCTGCGCAGATGTCATCGAGATTGCGTTACCTCAGTCGGACACTGGAGCATGTCAAGAATCGTTGGGAGGTGGAGTACCTAAGTCAGCTGAACAAGCACCAACAGACCATGTCGCGCCCTTTAGCTATGGGTGATGTTGTCTTTGTTCTCGATGATACCAAGCGCAAACAGTTCTGGCGTTTGGGACGGATCATCGAGTTATTCCCTGGTCGAGATGGTAAGCGTCGTGTTGCCAAGGTTAAGTTGAGTACCAGTACCCTGTTGAGGCCGATCCAAAGGTTAGTGCCATTAGAAGTATCGTCACAGGACGTGGCTCCTGGGCTTGCCGATACCGCTCAACCTGCTATCGTCCCTCAGCAGCCAGCGTATGAACCGTCAGCACCGTTACCACCACCACGGCAGCAGGAGATGACGCGTTCTGGGCGCGTAGTCAGAGCCCCGGATCGTTTTGACTTGTGTGCATTGTTGTACGGCGGTGAGAAGCCCTTTGGTGGGGAGAATGTTGTAAACCACCAGTTCTCAATTGGGAAAGGCCTTCGCGCTTATGGCATTGTATTCGTTGAAATGTTGTATTTCGACTCCGCCGTACCGCTGATGTTGCTGCATGGCATACGCTATATGCGTTGTGTGTGTTTTGCTGTATACGCTGTTATGTCCAGTTTTATATGCGTATGTTTTGCATGTACGCTGTTTTTGCATGCTATAAATAGCTGGTGTTATTAGTGTTCATTGTTAATTATTCGATGAAGTGAAATATACTGTCTAAAGGAAAAGTGTTGTCCTCGTGCCGTGTGGTCGTACGATCCTGACAATTTAGAGAATCTTAGAGGGTTCACAACAACCGTAGTGATAGTGTTCATCCATGTGGAAATGTAGCAAACGCCTCAACCATTCCAAATTCATCCATAAAAGGCATTTCTGAACGCATTTTGTCCATAATATGAATGTTTTGTCCTCATTTTCTTCAGAATATTTGAATTATATGCTGGCTTCATTCCAATATTCCCTTTGTCGCTCAATATGCCTATATGAACTGTCTCACAAAATATGCGGAAATATGCGCAAGCATATTTTGGTCGAGGCCTAGCCCATGGGCTTGTACAGGTCAGACCTCGCTATAACGACCCCCGTTATAACATAAATCTCACTACAACGTACAAATGTGAATGTCCCTGCCGAAACCGCATCACTTCTGTACAAAATTTCCTCGCTATAACATAATCCGCTATAGCGTAATGTTCGCTATAACACACTGTTTGCTGGGCCCCGGGCGCACAGAGACCTCAGCATAACGTAAAAACTCGTATAAAAATGACTATCTACACTGCATGCATGCCTTCTCGCGACGAATTCGAGACTGAGCCGTCCACCTCGGAAGCAGGGAGTAGTAAAATACCGGTATTTTACGTAGTAAAATACCGGTATTTTACTACTCCCATTACTTTTTATAGGCTCTAATCTTGTCACATGTACACGTACACGCACTGCATGACTCTTGTAACCCCTTGTT